GCATCTTCCTTCGGGCCGAGCATTTGACCCTCCCCAACCTCGAGTCCCCCGGGCGGCCCTGCTGTCTTCTCGGTTCTGGAGCATCTGCTGTGAAGAGGTCCCAGCCTTGGCCGCACCACCCCCCGCCCCCACCGGGAGGGCTTGGGAGTCTCCCGCCTGGCACCGGCCAGAGGCAAGAGTTTGCGAGGGGAGGGAAATCTGTTTAGAGCCACATTGAATCCGATGTGTTTAATGATTAAACATTTAAAATGGGCAGCATAAGCCTCCTCCAAGCGTAAAGCAGTTAACAAGAACACCCCGTCCAGAGCTGCCCAGTCCAGCTCTGGGCACTGAGCGGGGCAAGCACGCGGCAGGCTGGACAACTGTTCGCTGTTGTTGCTGTTCCATTTCCGAGGTTGCTGTGCAGATCAAAGGCCAAGCTATGGAACCCTCGCCAAGCACTCAGACCGCCCCGTTTGGCCTCCCCTTCCATTGCCTAGGAGAGCGGAGGGATGGGGTGGGCCCAGGCTGCAGCCCCGTTAGGGCGGCCAGCGGGGACCACAGGGCTCCTGGCTCCCAGCACACTTCGGCCGTGGTTCTTGCTCCTTGACTGAAACTGGGAAGTTCTGCTCACACAGAAATGGAGATGCCCAGCTTGTCCGTCAAATCAGAAGGCCAGGCCCCTGGGCCCAAGTTCCTTTCTGGATAGAGCCCTTGCTCCTGATTGCCTCAGTCTCCCCACGGGTTACCCTGGGGAGTGGGAATGGCTGCCCCTGTTTTCAGGGTCCACACCCTGCCCCTTTATTGGTCCCAAGGTTCTGAATGGCCAAGCGGCCAACAGGTGACCTGGGGCTGCACGGCCCTTCCTTTGATCCAGGGTCGCGTGCTCCATTGCAGAGGTGAGGGGACCAAATCCCCTGATTGGCCCAAGAGCACACATGGAGCAAGTGGAGGAGGCCATCTAGAAGGGGGTCCAGGGCAGAGCTGGGGGGCAGCCTGGTCTGAGGCCCACTTCTTTTTTTTTAAATATTTTTATTGATTTCAGAGAGGAAGGGAGAGGGAGAGGGAGAGGGAGAGAGAGAGAGAGAGAGAGAGAGAGAGAAACATCAATGATGAGAGAGAATCATTGATTGGCCACCTCCTGCACGTCCCATACTGGGGATCCAGCCGCAACCTGGGCATGTGCCCCTGGCCAGAATCGAACCTGGGACCTTTCAGTCCACAGGGCGGCGCTCTATCCACGGAACCAAACCCGTTAAGGCTGAGGCCCACTTCCTCCCTGGCTCCATTAGTTTCTTAAGGTCATTGGAACAAAGTACCACAAACTTGGAATGGCCCAAAATAACAGAATGTGTCCTCTTCCAGTTCTGGGAGCCAGAAGCCTGAGGTCAAGGTGTCAGCAGGGCCATGCTCCCTCCAGGGGTCAGGGAAGGCTCCTGCCTCGCCTCTTCGGCTCCTGGCAGCTCCATGCATCCCCGGGCTGCGACAGCATCCTTCCAGCCTCTCCTACCTCTCTCCTCACCGACCCTCTTCCGCGTGTCTGTGCCCTTGTCCAAATCTGCTCCTTCTAAATGGCGCCAGCCATCGGATGTAGGGCCCACCCGGGTCCAGTACGACCTCTTCTTAACTTGATTAGTTGACAAAACCCCTTTTTCCAAATGAGGTCCCAGTCATGGGTCCCAGGGGCTAGAACTTGAACATATCTCTCTGGAGGACACAGTTAAAGCCGTTGTCATGCATGATGCCAGGCATGGCCCCTGTGGTCTCTGGGCCTCAGTTTCCCCGCCTGTAAGCAGGAGGCCCTCAGCTCTGTCAGTCTTGGAGCCATTAAAGAGCTCTGGCACAAGCAACCGGTCATTATCTGTGACCAGTAGAGTAACGGCACGAGTTACAGAGCCCTCTCAATGTGCCAGGCCTGTGCTAAATGCTTGGCATCCTCACCTCAGTCCATCCTTCAATCCCATTAAGTAGCTGATGGTATCATGTCATTTTACCAACAAGGAAACGGAGGCCCAGAGAGGTCTGGGTGCTTGTCCAGTGTTGCACAGCCAGGTCTGGCCTCCGGGAGCCGCGTGGTCTGCAGCTCCTCTGGCTCTGGGTCCAGGAGGGTCTGGCCATCAGGAGGGAGGAGCTGACCCCTCTCTGTCACCACCCTCGGGCACCACACCGCGGAGCCGGCCCTGCCGCCTGCCTGTCGCCCAGGCCCCTCTCTTCAGAAAGCTCCGTGCCCCCTGACCCCCCTCCTGTCGGCAAGGGCAGCCTTGTTTCCTCCATCTGCCTCCCATTAGCCCCCCGTCACTCAGCTTCTGGCTGCAGCTCCGCACCGTCTCCGATCTCCCTTTGCCACTGGCCCCCCGCTGCTGCCCAGCTCCAGGCTCCTCCTGCTGCCCAGCTCCAGGCTCCTCCTGCTGCCCAGCTCCAGGCTCCTCCTGCTGCACCAGCTCCAGGCTCCTCCGCAGGCCGGGCCCCGGGGCCGCACCGGTGCTTGGGCCTTGGTGCGGTCTCCCTGTTTTCTCCTCTCTGAGGAGTTTGGGAGTCACTCTGACTGTCCAGTGCACAGAGGCGGGTAACCTTGAGATATAAATACTGTTAAAAACCAACAAGAAGAAGGCAGAATACCAAGAGAAAAATGGCAAAGGACCTGCATAGGCGAGTCACAAGGACGAAAAACTGCCCACAAACATAGGAGAGAAGTGTAGCCTCTGCAGCCTCCAGCACCAGCTGGAGCGACAAGAGCTGACCTGCAGGGCTTGCCGCCCGCTGGGCTCTGCCCCTGGGCAGCCCCACAGAGCAAGGGGCAGAGTGGGGTCCTGAGTGACCCTTCAGGAAAGCGTGGGGAGTGCTCACACTCACACACACTCACATATACACTCACACACACATACACACACGCACACACACACATGCACACACACTCACACTCACACTCACACATGCTCACACACATATACACGCACACACACGTATACACTCACACACACTCACACATATACACTCACACACACTCACACACACACTCATACTCACACATGGTCACACACACATACGTGCACACACACTCACGTATACACTCACACACAGTAGGGGCTGTGCCTACTCCTCCAGTGCCCTGGCCTGGCCCTGCGGCTTCCTCCCGTCTACTGTCCTCTACTCCTCGGGCCCAGCTCCCGTTCCTTCCTTCCCCTCCCCTCAGCCTGACCCCACCCGGACCTCCTACCCTCATGACCCAGCGTGTCACTGACCAGGAGACCCGTCTGCTTGGCCCTGTTTGGGCCACAGTCCCCGTGCTGAAGCGCAGGAACCCACGCCTCACTGCGGGGGCCCAGCCCTCCGTAGGCTCCGGGGGCGGGGCGGGGGGAACTGAGGGACCAGGAGGCTGGGGGCAGGAGCGGTGGCAGGGCATGGGCTGGCCAGGGAGACTCTTCCATCTTCTCCCTCATCCCATCTGCCCCCCGAGGGGCACTCAGGACCATTTCGGGGATCTCCACCCTTGGGGAGACAGGCCTCTGCTCCCAGTGCCCTGGCCCAGGCCTCCCACGCCATCTGCCCCCTCCAGAAACACTGCCCCTGCTGGCCAGAGCCCCCTGCTCTGAGGGCAGCCTCCTCCCCAACACCCCTTGCCCTCACACCCAGGCACAGCCAGTTGGCCCCGGGGCCTGGCCATGGTCTGGGGCCTGTGAGAGCCAGGTATGAGCTGGGCTAGGCCCGGCGAAGCTCCCAGGCAGGTCACTGAGGAACATCCTTTTCTCAGCCATCCCTGTGCCCCCCACCCCTGTGCACCCCCACCCCTGTGCACCCACATCAGAGGCCCTGCCTGACCCTCAGCCTCTTCTGGGTGGGGTGAGTCCTCAGGGCCCCCAGAAGCCCAGAGAACAGGGTGAGAAGGCGCTGAGAGCCTTAGTCAGCTCGGGCTGCCATAACAGATGACCATAGCCGGGCGGCTTCCGCAGCAGGCATTTCTTTCTCACAGTTCTGGAGGCTGGGAAAGTCAAGACCACGGTGCTACAAGGCGGGTTTCATGCGGAGGCCTCCTCTCTGGGCTTATAGGCAGCCGCCTGCTGTCTGTGTGCTCACGTGACCTGTGGCCTCCCCCGCCCCACCCCCTTCACACCACAGAGGGCGCACTCTGGAGATTCCTCTTATGAGGGCACTAATCCCATCCGGGGCCCCACCCTCATGGGTCATCTAACACAATCCTGTCCCGAAGGCCCACCTCCTCATCCCATCACATTGAGGGCAGGTTTCAGCATGTGAATTTGGGGGACGCAAACATTCAGTCCTTACAGAGCCCCTCAGACCCCTCACCGCAAGATGGGAGGGAGCGGGGCCTGGTCTCTGGCCGGGTGCTCTCTCAGCCTCGCTGCACCAGCCGCACAAGAAGAGGGTACTTTCGAGGCTCCTCCAGCAGTCGGGGGGCTACTGAGAGTGACCCTTAGCTCCACCTGGGGGAACTGTCCCCAGAATTAATGCCCATCCTCCCCCTGGCAGGTCCTCTCCTCCTCGGGGCTGGTCAGGGCCCCGCCTCCCTGGTTCCTGGCCAGCAGGGCGGTGTCATCGGGGGCCCAGGCCTTGCCCTCTGGAGCCTTGGTCTCTCTGGCTGCCGAATGGGAGGGGGAGGCGGGGGAGGAGGGCTGAGCCGGCCTCCTCTCCGGCTGCTCTGTGAGCCCAGAGTCCTGATCCCAGAGACCCATCTACCCTCCGCGGCCCCCGCTTGGCATCAGTCCCTGGCGGGCGAGGGAGGCAGAGCCGGGGAGGCGCCCACAGGCCCCCTCCAGCCGCTGCAGGGAGGCCCAGTCGGCTCGGCCAAGGGAGGACCGGGAGGACTCAGAGCCCCTGGGGCAGGAGGGAGGGCAGGCGGGTGCAGGGCAGGGCCTTTGTGCTGCCCGGGAAGCCGCCCTCCATCCCCACTGGCCTGCTTGGCAAAGCTGACGGCAGGAAGAGCCCGTCGGCCATCCGTCAGGGAGACGGAGTGGGCTGTGCGAGGAGGGAGCCGGGAAATTTGATCATTAAGAAACCCTCCCGGCTGTCTGGGGGAATTTAATTAAATTGCTGCGGAGGGCGGTGAGAGAGGGCCACATCTGGAACCAATATGTGGGCTTTGATTTCCTCTCTCCCCTCTCCCCCCTCCTCCCTGCCTCTCCCCAGCTCACTGTGAACGGAACACAGTAGACCCTGGGGTATTGGTTCCTCTGGGGCGGAATTCCTGGCCGACAGACAGAGGGACACCGGACGCATGGAGACAGACAGAGGCCGAGGACAGCCCCGCCACCCCCAGGAGGGGCGTGGCCGGGCTGTGCCCTGGGATTGGCTGTGGGGGCTTTAGCTGTGACAGGAGGTAAGGGCCCACTTCACAGAACAAGAGTCCGTTTCAGAGGGTTCCAGAAACGGGACGCCCCACCAGGAGTCCCCGGGTGGCCAGCACTGACTCAGCCCCAGCGCATGGCATCGCGGGGGCAGGGGGGGGGGTGCCCTCACACCCCATGGAGCAGAGGCTGTGGTCAGCTCCATTTACAGACCAGAGGCGAAATGACTTGCCCAAGGTCACAGGGCCCTTGAGAGACGGTGCGAGGGTTCCCTTCTGCCTGGACGCGCGGCCGGGCCAGTCGTTGCCACCGCTCCATGGGCTGCTGTGGACTTCATGTGCCAGGCACCCGGCGAGGCTCTCCCGGGGCAGCAGCGAGGAAGGCAGGCAGCGAGCTCCCAGCGGCCCCGGAAGTGCCAAGTGCTAGCAGGAGCCGGACAAGCCGGCCTCGACCAGGCAGCCAGCGGTGGTTGAAGCGTGTCCTCTGCCTGGGCAGCCCTTGGCCGAGAGAGGAGTGGGCACAGAGGCCTTGGGGTCTCTCTTGCCCGGTGGTGCAGCCCCTCCAGGCCCAGGTGCTCATGTCATGGGGATGGGTGGAAGGCTTCCCAGCCTGGACCCCCAAGGCTGAGCCACGGACACTGGCTCAGTCCCCCTTCCAGCCAGTTTCCTGCACGTTAGCGAGCCTGCCCTGGTCTCCGAGCTCGCCACTCCCCCAGGGCCCAGGACCCCCCCCCCCCCCCCCAGGGCCAGGCAGGGTCCCAAGAGGCCTACCAGCCAGGCCTCCCCTGGGGAAAAAAAACCCTTGGGGGGGTTCCCGGCCTCCCCTAAAACCCAACTCCTGGCCTCCAGCCTGGACTGGGGGGGCC